CTCCCAGGCACACTCAGCTGCAGGCCCTCCCAGGGCACGCTCAGCTGCAGGCCCTCCTAGGCCAAGACATACTCAGCCGCAGTCCGTCTCGGTGGTAGCAACTCCCAGAGTAGGTGCCCTCCTGGATCTGCTGCTGCAGGCTGGCAGCCCTGGGTGCCACAGGTGTGGAAGTGACCTGAGCGCTTAGCCTTGGGTCCTCTGCTGACGGGCACGTATGCTCAGGGCTCACATCCAACGTGGGAAGGATGTAGTCCGGGCTCTCCATGTCATGTGCTTTGTGATGTTCAGGGGACACCAAACAAATCTCAGAGAGTTCTGTCTGATCGTGCCCTAGAGGGCTTTCCTGGAACTGCAGGCCATCACCAGGGTCAAAGTAGGTGCCAGCCAACAGCAACAGTTCCCTGTCCCCCAGGATATCTGGTCTCTGCCTATGGAGATGGCCCACCTCCTCATCAGAGCCCACCACCACAGGAGAGGGTGTCTCACTGAGTTCAGATGTGGCACAGGAGCAGCTGGACGAAGCTCGTTCCGCCAAGTCACTGAGGAAGAGCTCCTTTAGGTTCCAGGAATAAGAATTCACATCGGCCTCCTGGGCCTCCTGGGCCTCCTGGGCCTCCACCACCTCGAGGACACCAGGAAGGTCAGTGGCCAAGGCATAGCAGGCCGAGGAGCTGCCCAAGTGGCTGCTGTGAAGGTCTCTGCCTCCAAGATCGCAGAAGGACATGGGGGCGGAGGGTGGGTGCTCTGCTGGGACCTGCTCATGGCAGGAGAGGCCCAGAGGCCCTGTGCAGCTCAGCTTAGACAGCCTCTCCTTTGTCAAGCAAGTCTGCAGCTCCTCTCGGTTGTCCTGTGCCCCCAGCCAAGGCTCATCCAGAGTGGGCGTCCCCAAGGAGATACTTGCCCTCCCTGAGGGGCTGGGAGCCAGTTGCCGTAGGGCCCACTTGCTGCTGTAGAGAGGGCAGTGCATCAGGAGGCCCCCCGTTGCCAGCTGTCCTGCAGTTTGGGGCTGGAGTCTGGCAGGATCAGTCCAAGGGCTAGGGCTGAGGACACCAATCAGCTCCTGCTGGGCCTCCAGACTCAGGCCACTGTCCCTGTCCTCAGCAGGTCCTGGAGGCTCAGAACCCCCACACGAAGCCCAGGAGTTTGTATCCACTGGTTCAGACCTGCTTTCTCCCAGGGGACCCTGCCTGGGGTCCTCTGTTGCTGCAGGCTCCTCCTTCCCCAAGGCAGCACGTTCCTGGTCTATGAACAGTGACTGGTCATCTTGGGCTGGTGGGCTCCCTTCTGGGGCATCTTGTTGGTCCTGGAGCAATGAAGACTCACCGTGGGTCACGGAGCTTTCTTTTGAGGTACTCTGCTGGTTCTCAGGCAGTGACTGTTCCCCATGGGCTGGCGGGCTTCCCTCGGGGACACTTTGTTGGTCCACAGACGACGACTGCTCCCCATGGGTTGGCGGGCTTCCCTCAGTGACATTTTGCTGGTCCATAGGTGACGACTGTTCCCCATGGGCTGGCGGGCTTCCCTCAGTGACACTTTGCTGGTCCATAGGTGACGACTGTTCCCCATGG